ACGACCAGTGGGCTTTGCGGGCCGAGCCCCTTGCATGAATTTTGTGCACTGGGCCTCTCCTACAATCTGTGTCCTCTCAGGCTTGGCTTGTGTCACTTAGCACAAGGTGTTCAAAGTTCGCCGAAGTAAGTTGCAGCTAGGATCGCGGCTTCATTCCCTTTTATTGCTGAACTAGTGGCCCGGTGCACAAAATTCGTGCACATTAAGTGGGGATTAATTAAAAGAAATAATTTAATATTGCTGTTTGCCCTTTCTCTATAATAGAAGTGTCAGACATGAAAGAAAAGTAGTAAAATGTATGTGAAAACCTTCCTCCAGTCAGAGCCTGGGGCAGGCCACGGGACCCAGAGTCAAGTCCCCGCCCACCTGCGTGCACCTCGAAATCACGTGAGACCCGACCCGGCCGCCCCCTCCTCCCTGGCACATTGGGCTAGATCCAGACCTGGCTAGTCCCACCCTTGTCAAGCCCCGCCAGGCAGGGGGTGTGGCCTGGGGTCCCCTAGCCCAGCACCAGGATGGGAAGTGCACCTTGAGGCCCCTGTCAAGCCCGGCCTGCAGGGGGCGTGGCTTCAGGTCCCCCGGCCTGACACTGGGCTGTGGGGGGCTCAGCCTGAGGTCCCGTGTCAAGCCCCCAGGGGTGGGAGAAGGCAAAGCCTCAGGTCCCTGCTGATTGCTCGTTAAGGCTCCTATGGGAACTCGGCTCAGCTGTGGGTGCAGCCCTCTCTGTGATGGAGTGATGGTCAATTAGCATATTCCCTCTTATTAGGCAGGATAATATTCTCTGGTCTGAATACAGCACGCTTTGTTTATCCATCCGTCAGTTAACCGACATTTGCTTCCACCTTCGGCTGTGAGGACCAGCGCTGCTGTGAGCATTTTTTAAAAATATATATTTTATTGATTTTTCACAGAGAGGAAGAGAGAGGGATAGAGAGTTAGAAACGTCGATGAGAGAGAATCATCGACCAGCTGCCTCCTGCACACCCCCTTACCGGGGATGTGCCCGCAACCAAGGTACATGCCTTTGACCAGAATCGAACCCCGGACCTTTCAGTCCACAGGCTGATGCTCTATCCTAGGGGTGTCGAACTCAATCAGAGAAGGGGCCAAAATCTAAAATCCAGCCTAAATCGCGGGCCGAATGGTTTACTGAACAGTCATAAACTGTCATTGTGATGGAAACGCAGCGGAGTGCAGTGATGATAGCGTGGTGCGGGCCACATTGCAAGGCCTGGCGGGACGGATTTGGCCCGCGGGCTTGTGTTTGACACATGTGCTCTATCCACTGAGCCAAACCGGTGCCGGTGCCGGCTGCTGTGCGCATCTGTGCACAGGAGTTTGCTAGAGCACGTTTTCGATGCTCTGGGGCTTATGCCTACAAGTGGGATCCTGGGTCATCGCTGGGTCAGAGGGTAATTCCGTGTTTAACTCACTGCTTTCCAGAGCAGCTGTGCCATTAGCAGTCCCAGCAGCCATGCACGGGCAAGGGCGGGTGTGCAGTTTCCGTGTGTGTGTGTGTGTGTGTGTGTGTGTGTGTCTGTGTCTAGCCATCCTAGTGGGTGTGAAGTGGTCTCTCCGTGTGGTTTTGGTTTGCATTTCGCTAATGGCTAATGAGTGTAAGCATCTTCTCATGGGCTCATTAGCCATGTGTATCTCGTTTGGAGAAATGTCCCTCCAGGCCCTTTGCTCACTTCTCAGTTGGGTGGTTGTTGAGTTTAATGTCCTTTAGATCTCTCTGTACGTTTCTCTGTCCCTCTGCTTGTCTCTCTGTGCTTTGTCTCTCAGTCTCTGCGTGTCGCTCTGTTCCTGTCTCTGCGTGTGTGTCTCTTTCTCCTTTTCAGACTCCTCTCTGCCTCCTTCTCATCGAGCTCAGCTACTCCCTCTCCCCCTTCAACAGGCCTCGCCACCTTCCTCTTCATTTCACATACCTACTTATTATTATTGTTTCTTAAGTCCTCACCTGAGGATATTTTTCCATGTATTTTAGAGAGAGTAGAAGAGAGAGGGAAAGACAGAGAGGAATATCCATGTGAGAGAAACACATTGAACCAGGGCCTGGGGGCCCAGGAGGAGCCTGCAACCAAGGAATGTACCCTTGATTAGAATCAAACCTGAGACTCATCAGTCCGCAGGCTGATGCTCTATCCACTGAGCCACACCAGCTAGGGCCACATAATCGATTTGATTCCTCATAGCACAATGATAATGCCTTGTTCACTTTTTACTTGTTTATGTGCCATGGCCTGGGTGCCGGGAGGGTAGGACTGGGCTGGCTGGGTCACCCCAGGGTTCTGAACACAGGAGCCTGGCCAGAGGTGCTCAGAGAGAGTTTGCCGGGTGGATGGATGGATGGATCCCTTTCTCTGGTATCTTATCCCCTGGTATCTGTCTGTCAGTCCGTCTACCTCTGCCCCTCTCACTCCTCCCCACATCCCAGGTCTCTCCTCCACAGGGGGGGGGGGCGGGGGGAGACACACCCTCAATACCCCATGACGGGACTGGGAGGGAGAGAGGAAATCCGTAGCCTGGTTCCCGGGGTCCTGGCCAGCCCGCAGGCCCCGCCTCACCGGCCCTCTGTCCCCAGCCCCAGGCCGCAGCGGCCCCGTGGCACTGGTCTCCGAGGTCTTCGAGCAGCACCTGGGAGGACACATCCTGCAGGTGAGGCCCGTTCCCTTCCTGCTGCTCCGTGCTGCCACCTGGTGGCCTCCGCTGAGAACAGCACCCTTCTCCCGCACCCATCGCCGGAGCGCGCCCACTGGCTGCCCCTTCCAGGGCCAGTGAAGCCCCGTCCTCCCCCTCCCCCCAAAAACAATCCGTCCTGGCAGAGAGAAGATTCCAGAGCCTCTTACAGGTGCCAGCCCTCCCCTCCCCTCCCTGTCTCTCCCTCTCTAGGCCCTGGATGGCTTTGTGTTTGCCTTGAGCCAGGAGGGGAAGTTCCTCTACATCTCAGAGACCGTCTCCATTTACCTGGGTCTCTCTCAGGTAAGGACCTGCGCAGGCTGCCATCGCCCTGGGCCACAGGGCATCCCCTTCCTCTCTCCTGACCTCACCATCCCAGCGTGAAAAGGGGACTGGATCCGTGGTTCCCAAAGTGCGTTCCTTGGAACCCCAGATGGCATCCAACAGGGCTCCTCCTTACAGGCGGGGGGGTGGGGGGGGATTATCGAAGTCATGGGTCAAAGAAAAAATAATTTTAAAACAAAACAAGCCCTAGCCGGTTTGGTTCAGTGGATAGACCGAAGGGTCCTGGGTTCGATTCCGGTCAAAGGCACATACCCAGGTTTTAGGCTCCATCCCCAGTAGGGGGCGTGCAGGAGGCAGCCGATCTATAATTCTCATCATTGGCGTTTCTCCCTTCCTCTCTGAAATAAATAAAAATATTTAAAAACAAAACAAAAAGTAACAGGTCAATTTTTGAAAGAAGCAAATGAGCAGAAAGACAAGCTTGCCGATGAGAGGTGGCCAAATAGACCGTATTGATCCAAAGTTGTTTCTTCGCAGTTTTGGGTTTTGGGTTTGTTTTTTTTAGGAATAGGCTTAGGGTTAGGGCTAGGGTTCAGGCTCAGGTTGTTCCTCACAGTTTTCAAAGATCACAGTTTGCATGGGCAGAGCTTGGGATCTGCGGGCACTGAAAGGTTTTGTTTGAGTGTCCTGGCTCCTGGTGGCCTCGCCGATCCAGTCGATACCAGTTGCTACCATCTTTTATTGTATTTAGAAAGATTTTGGCGGATAGTAAATTTCGACAATTCAGTGCTTAGGCCTCTGTGAGCAGCTTTTTGTGAGTTTCTGGAGGGGGATGAACCTGAAGGCAGGGGAATGGGACCCAGAGGAAGGGAGGGAGGGAGAGGGCAGGAGGGGCTGGAGGAGGGGGATGACCCCAAGCCTTGGGCCAGTGGGAGCCACAGAAGCGTTCTGTTTCCTTTTGAATTGCTGGTATTATTACAGGTGTCTCTCCCCACCCCCGCTCCCACCTCCACCAGCTCTGGAGGTCTGAGGGGAGGCGGGCCATGGCCCGATGGGTCACCTAGGGAGGGTCCCCTTGAGTGGGGACTGAAGGCCAGAAGACCAGTGAGGGTGCTGGGGCAGGAACACAGCGGGGAGAACACGGGCCTGGTTTCGGGGAGATGTGGGAATGCTCCAAGATTTGAAGGGGGGGGGTTTGAATGCAAACGTCTGCCTTACTCAAATGTCCTCATTCCATTGTATCTCAAACCCCATTCCTGCTGGGACACCCTGCGATTCATTTCAGGGCACAGCTGTTGGCTGTAAGTTAGGGCCTACGATACCTCCCCAACCCAACTCCCTACACAGCTTCTTTAAAGAAAAAGTTTATTGATTTCAGAGAGGAAGGGAGAGGGAGAGATAGAAACATCAGTGATGAGAGAATCATTGATCGGCTGCCTCCAGCACACTCCCCACTGAGGATGGAGCCCGCAGCCTGGGCATGTGCACTTGACTGGAATCGAACCTGGGACCCTTCAGGCCATATGTCGCCGCTCTATCCACTGAGCCAACCAGGCTAGGGCCCTGCACAGCTGCTTAGCAGACTAGGCAGGCCAGAAAGTCTCTGGTAATCACTGGCTCAGAAGAGTGAGGGCGGGGAAGAGCCTTGGCTAGTCTCCTCCTGCACAAATGTTCCCTTCGCCCTGGCCCGGGCAGCGAGAGCCTGGGCCTGCGCACTGAAGGGTCGAGTTTCAATTCCGGTTCCCGGTCAAGGGCACAGACCTGGGTTGCTCCATCTACGGAAGCCACCAAGCCATGTAGCTCTCTGCCATTGATGTTTCTCTCTCTCCTCCCTTCCTTCCCACTCTCTAAAAAATCAATGGGGAAAAATGTCCTCAGGTGAGGGTTTAAAAAAAAAATCTAATAAAAACAACATTGGCATAAAGTACTCCTGCCCGTAAGCGAATGTAAGCGAATGAACAGTTGGCCAAACGGAGGGGGTGCGGTCTAACTGCGAGCACCTTCCCCGCCCCTGTATTTCTCTCCTTCGCCGGCAGGTGGAGCTGACGGGCAGTAGCGTCTTCGATTACATCCACCCCGGGGACCACTCGGAGGTCCTGGAGCAACTGGGCCTGCGCACCCGGACCTCCGGGCCCCCCACCTCACCGTCAATCGCCTCCTCCTCCTCTTCCTCCTCGCTTGCTGACACTCCTGAGATCGGTAATTCCAAGGGCCCCCAAAGGAGGAGGCCTGATGCAGGGACAAGAGTCCATTGTCTCCAGCGACGTTTCATTTCAACAAAACCCGCTCTGCTTGGAGTTGTGCAAAACAAGTTTTCAGAGTCTAAATGGAGGCAGGGAGACCTGGCTCTCTAAGACTGCCCGAGTCCCCAACTTGCATGTGCTGTGCCTCTAAGTACTCAACGTCATTGAATCCTAACCCCGGTCCCACAGAGCAGGACCCTCTTCGTGTTACAGAGGGGGAAACTGAGGCACGGCACAGCGAGGTGAGGTTGCCTGTCCCAGGTCACAGCTGTAAGCTGAGCTAGATTCCCATCCCGGTTTGTCTGCCTCCAGGCCCTAGTCTGCTCCTCACCCTCCTTTCCGATGGAAAATTCCCCTCCCATGTGGAGGAGGGAGGTGTTAGGTAACCGGACGGTTCCTCTTAGCTCTGAGGTGCGGAGGGGGCGGCTTGTGAGGCCAGCTTTCCAGTAAACACGGTTTTCTTACCTGGGGTTTGGTTTGCTTTGCACCCAAACCGCCTGAGTTGTCGGCGGTGATTGCAAGTTTGGGGAGGTGTGTGGGGCTGAGATGATGTTTGCACCTGAACTAAGGTGCCCAGACGTCCCGATTTTTCACCATTTGTCCCGCGTCCCGCGGCGTTTTAGACAAATGGTGAAAAATCGGGAATCGGGACTGTCCTGCAAAAGCGGGACGTCTGGTCAGCTTAGCCTGGACGTGAGGCCCAGGGTGGGCTGGGTGTGAGCACAGGTGTGCCTGTACCATGGACGAGTCTCTCTCTCTGAGTCTCTGTGGCCACGCCCCATGCCCTGCTCTGCGCCCAGCCCCGTGCCCGGCGGGGCCGGGGACCCGTAGTGACCACAGCTCCCGCCCCGCCCCAGGGCGCCCGTCCAGCGGAGGAGAGGGCTGTGCCCAGCGGGGGCAGGTGTGGTGTGAGCCCCCAGACACGCTGGGGGGGCTTCCGGGAGCAGAGGGCTGGCCTCAGAGGGTGTCAGTGGGACACCCTGCCCAGTGTGAGGTCCCAGGGAGAAGCCGGACTCCCTCGCCAGGGTCCCCGGAGCCCGGAGATGCAGGAGGGACAGAGGCCGGGGCAGAGCTGAGCGCGGAAAGGCCGGGGATAGGAGGGGCTTGTAGGGCCGTCTGAGGGGGGCGGGAAGGGGGCCTGTGTGTCTCCTCCCCAGGACCCCACACTCTCCTCACTCCGCCCCAGAGGCCGGTCCCCCCGCAGTGCCCTCCGCCCGCGCCCGGGAGCGCTCCTTCTTCGTCCGCATGAAGTCCACCCTCACCAAGCGGGGGCTGCACGTCAAGGCCTCGGGGTACAAGGTGGGCGAGGGCCCGGCCCGGCCCGGCTCCGGTCTCGCTGCCCCCGGGGGGCGGGGGGTGCAGGCAGGAGAGGGGGCTCCCGCACACCTGCCCCTCCTCCACCCGCCCCCCCCGCAGGTCATCCACGTGACCGGCCGCCTGCGGGCCCGCGCCCTGGGCCTCGTGGCCCTGGGCCACGCGCTGCCCCCCGCGCCGCTGGCCGAGCTGCCGCTGCACGGACACGCCGTGGTCTTCCGGCTCAGCCTGGGGCTCACCATCCTGGCCTGTGAGAGCAGGTGCGGGCACCGGGGGCGGGGCAGCTGGCGGGGGGGGGGCTGCGCCTTCGGGGTCCACGCTGTGCCCCTCGGGTCCCTCTCGCACTCGCTGCTCCTACGCCGCGCGGAGGGGAGTGAGACCCGGGATGGGACCCTCCCGGGTGCCCCCAGCCCAATGCCTGGAGCCACACCAGGAGGGACGGAGGGGAAACTGAGGCTCGGGGACTGCAGAGCCGCCCCCCCGCCACGCCCCGCAGGGTCAGCGAGCACATGGACCTGGGCCCCGCGGAGCTGGTCGGCCGCAGCTGCTACCAGTTCGTCCACGGCCAGGACGCCGCCAGGATCCGCCGGAGCCACCTGGACCGTGAGGACCCCCGCCGCTGCCGCCCGGCCCGGCCCGCTCCCCCCTCCCCCCCAGTCCTGCTGGGGGACCGGCCCCTCCCCCACCGCCTCCAGGGGCTCAGCGCAGTGTGGGCAGCAGGGCCCCGAGCAGGGCGGCCAGTGGGGGGGGGGGGCGGGTTGGCTGCAGCCTCTGACCCACCCAGCACCCGGGCTGCCTCCTGACGGGCTGTCCCCCGTGTGTGGCCTCTCTCCTCCCGCCCTCATCCTTCCTGGTCCTGTCCCGTCCCTCTGTCCCTCCCGGCACCCGCCTCCCGTCTGTCCCTGCCCGTCTGGCTCCTCCCGCCCACCTCCCTGCCCCCCTGTCCGACCCCCTCCTCGCCTGTCCTGTCTCCCCTCCCCCCGCCCGCCTGTCCTTCTGTCCCCCCTCCCTCCACCCGCCTATCCCCCTGTCTGCCTCCCCTCCCCCGCCCGCCTGTCCTCCTGTCTGTCCCCCCTCCCTCCACCCGCCTATCCCCCCGCCCGCCTGTCCTCCTGTCCCCCCTCCCTCCGGCCTCCGGCCCGGCCGGCCCAGTGCTGGACAAGGGCCAGGTGGTGACCGGCTACTACCGCTGGCTGCAGCGCGCCGGGGGCTTCGTGTGGCTGCAGTCCGCGGCCTCCGTGGCCCTGGGCGGGAAGAGCCCGGGGGAGCGCCACGTGCTCTGGGTCAGCTACGTGCTCAGGTGAGGCTGCCCCCCCCCCCCCCCCCCCCCCGGCCCCGCGGGAGGCTCCGGAGGGACAGGCCCAGGGGGCCGAGCAGGGAGGGCGCGGGCAGAGAGCAAAGCGCTGGAAGCAGAGGAGGGGGGAGCGGACGGCAGGGAGGCCAGGGGCCGGGCTGAGGCTGAGGGTCGGCCTGACCCAGGGCACCGGGGCCGGGGTGGAGCGGAGAGGGTCCCAGCCCAGCCTGCTTTTGGGAGCCCCCCTGCCCCGCCCTGGAGGCTGTGAAGAGGGGGAAGCTGGGACGGGGCGGGGGAGGGGGTGGCCGCGCCCCGGTCTCTGTGGGCCCAGACCCACCCCCGAGGGGCAGCAGGAGGGGCCAGGCTGGACACAAGCCTCTTGGCGTCTGGGTCCCGTCATGAGGCCGGAGAGCTTCGGGTGGAGACCTGTGCTCACTGGGGGGGGCTCTGCACTCGGAGGGGGTCTACACCCCCCGCCTGGGGGCAGGGCCGTGTGCCCTCACCGGGAGCCCGGCTCCAACCCCGTCTCCTCGCAGCCAGGCGGAGGGCGGCCACACGCCTCTGGACGCCTTCCAGCTCCCGGCCAGCGCGGCCGCTGAGGACACGGCCGGCCCCGCGCCGGAGCCCGCAGGTGAGCCCCCACCGGCCCCGGGTCCCCACCCGGCACCCAGACTGGGCAGTGAGGGGGCCCCCACCGGCCCCGGGCCCCCCGCCCGGACTGGGCAGTGAGGGGGCCCCCACCGGCCCCGGGCCCCCCACCCGGACTGGGCAGTGAGGGGGTCCCCACCGGCCCCGGGGCCCCGCCCGGCACCTGGACTGGGCAGTGAGGGGGACCGGCCCCGGGCCCCCCGCCCGGACTGGGCAGTGAGGGGGCCCCCACTGGCCCCGGGCCCCCCGCCCGGACTGGGCAGTGAGGGGGCCCCCACCGGCCCCAGGGCCCCCTGCCACCCGGACTGGGCAGTGAGGGGGCCCCCACTGGCCCCGGGCCCCCCCGCCCGGACTGGGCAGTGAGGGGGCCCCCACCGGCCCCGGGCCCCCCGCCCGGCCTGGGCAGTGAGGGGGCCCCCACCGGCCCCGGGCCCCCCGCCCGGACTGGGCAGTGAGGGGGCCCCCACCGGCCCCGGGCCCCCCGCCCGGACTGGGCAGTGAGGGGGCCCCCACCGGCCCCAGGGCCCCCTGCCACCCGGACTGGGCAGTGAGGGGGCCCCCACCGGCCCCGGGCCCCCCCACCCGGACTGGGCAGTGAGGGGGCCCCCACCGGCCCCGGGGCCCCCTGCCACCCGGACTGGGCAGTGAGGGGGCCCCCACCGGCCCCGGGCCCCCCGCCCAGCACCCAGACTGGGCAGTGAGGGGGCCCCCACCGGCCCCGGGCCCCCCGCCCGGACTGGGCAGTGAGGGGGCCCCCACCGGCCCCGGGCCCCCCGCCCGGACTGGGCAGTGAGGGGGCCCCCACCGGCCCCGGGGCCCCGCCTGGCACCTGGACTGGGCAGTGAGGGGGCCCCCACCGGCCCCGGGCCCCCCCACCCGGACTGGGCAGGGAGGGGGCCCCCACCGGCCCCGGGCCCCCCGCCCGGCACCCGGACTGGGCAGTGAGGGGGGCCCCCCACCGGCCCCGGGCCCCCCCGCCCGGACTGGGCAGTGAGGGGGCCCCCACCGGCCCCGGGGCCCCCGGCACCCGGACTGGGCCGTGAGGGGGCCCCCACCGGCCCCGGGCCCCCCGCCCGGACTGGGCAGTGAGGGGGCCCCCACCGGCCCCGGGCCCCCCGCCCGGACTGGGCAGTGAGGGGGCCCCCACCGGCCCCGGGCCCCCCCACCCGGACTGGGCAGGGCAGGAGCCACTGGCCGCCGAGGGCTGGCTGCTCACGTGAAAACCAGCAGCTCAGTCACACTCCCCACCCGTCCAGCACCTTAGGCAGACGCAGCCCGCGGCCTGGGCGTTGTGTGGGGTAGACGCGGCGCATCCTCGTACCCGGACAGTGGTCAGCCCGGGCTGGCCCAGGGCTTCCCAGTCTCCGCCCCGCTGCCCTCAGGGACCAGGCCGCCTTGGCTGGGGGCTGTCCTGGGCACGGTGGGGTCCTCAGCAGCACCCTGACCTCTCTCCGCTGGATGCCAGCACCCTCCTCCCCGGGTGTGACACCCAAAAGCCTAAAGCTGTCTCCAGACAGAGCCGGGTGTCCGTCCCCGGGGGGAGCCAGCCCGGGGGAGACCCACCGAGTCCACAGAGGCTGGACGAGGGCCGGGCACGCACACCCACGGCGCCCTCACACCTTCCAGAGCCAGCATCTCCGGTGCGAGGGGAGCAGGCGGCCCCCCCGGGCGAGGAGGCCCCCCAGGCCCAGGGCAGGGGCATCAAAGCGGAGCCGGGCCGAGGGGACGCCACAGAGCCGGAGGACAGCGGGGACGAGGAGCCGGCCGGCCGCCCGGCCCCTCCGCCGCGCGAGTTCACGTCCGTCATCCGGGCGGGGGCCCCGAAGCAGGGCCTCGCGCGGCCCTGGGGCCTGGTGCCCCCGGGCGACCCCCCGCCGGCCCTGCTCCACGCCAGCTTCCTGCCCCCCGTCGTGCGGGGCCTGTGCACCCCCAGCACCATCCGCTACGGCCCCGCGGAGCTGGGCCTCGTGTACCCCCACCTGCAGAGGCTGGGCCCCGGGCCCCCCTTCCCCGAGGCCTTCTACCCGCCCCTGGGCCTGCCCTACCCCGGGCCTGCGGGCACCAGGGGGCAGCGGAAGGGGGACTGAGGACAGGAGAGCCTCCCGCCGAGCTGGACCCCTGGGGGGGGGGGTTCAGGCCCTAAGGGGCGGGGGACAGGGCTCTCAGACCATTAAGAATTAAAGATGCCGAAACCGGTGTGGCTCAGTGGATAGAGCGTCGGCCTACGGACTGAAGGGTCCCGGGTTCAATTCTGGTCAAGGGCATGTACGTTGGTTGTGGGCACATCCCCAGTGCGGGGTGTGTAGGGGGCAACTGATTGATGATTCTCTCTCTTCGATGTTTCTAACTCTCTCTATCCCACTCTCTTCCTCTCTGTAAAAAAAAAAAAAATCAATAAAATATATTTAAAAACAAAACAAGAATTAAAGACCTGCCCCCTGCCTGTGGCTTGGTCTCTGCGGGCTGTGGAGCCCCCGCTCTCCCCCCCGCCCCCCGCGGGCCCAGCCTGCCCGCACAGGAACCACCACCACGTGGAGGAAGGGAAGGGTCAGGTTTAATGTCCTGGTTCTCGGACCCGGGCCGGTCTGCAGCGGCCGCAGGCCTCAGGTGCACGGTCCTCCCCCGGGCCCCGCTGCTCACTCGGGCGGGGGCCGCCCCTCCTCGTCCGGGCCTTCGGGGGCCGCCCCGTCGTCCTCCGGCACCAGCTCCACGTCCAGCTCCAGCTGGCCCACGTACAGGCCCACGGCGCAGGCCCAGAGCAGGCCCGCGGCCAGCACGGCCCCCACGCCGGCCGCCGCGCCCCCCAGAGACAGCTGCATGGGGCCCCGCAGCGCGGCCAGGCCCACCACGTAGGAGGCGCCGCCCCAGGCCACACACAGGCCGCCCAGCAGGAAGAAGCCTGTGGAGGAGAGGGGGAGGCCGGGGTCAGCGAGGGGAGGCCTGGGCTCCCGGGGGGGCGGGTAGAGGCTGGGGAGGAAGGCCGAGGGGAGGCAGGTCCTGGAGACGGGCGTCGGGGACTGAGGTGGACTCAGAGTGGGAGGGGGCAACGTCAAGGGCGGAGCAGGGGCCAGGGGTAGTCCAGAGTCACGGCGCCGGGCGTGAGGCGGCAGCAGAGGGGCGCCGAGGGCCTGGAGGTGGGGTCCAGGGTGAGAGGAAGGTTGGAGGGCAGGGGCTGGGGCTAGGACGCTCGTCTTTCTGGAGAAGTCAGACTGGAGGGCAGCCCCACACCGCGCCCCGGACCGCCCACTCTGGTGGGCAGTGGGGAGCATGGGAGTGTGGGAGTGAGGGTGCGATGGCTTCCGGTGGGGGGGGGGGGGCTCTACACTTACTGCTGGGGCGATGGGGCAGGAGGGAATCTACACTCACCGGTGTTGGGGGGGGCAGGGGGGGGTCAGCACTCACCGTAGGCAGCTTCCCGGCCCATGTCACTTTGCATGAAGGAGATGACGCCGATGCCAGAGGCCAGGAGGCCATTGCGGAACCAGGAGAGGAAGGCTTGGAGGGCGGGGGAGACGGGAGAGAATCAGCAGCGGCCCAAGCCCTGCCCCCAAAGGGCCTCAGCCCAGACAGTCACACTGAGGGGTTCGTCATCTCACCACCCCATCCTGCTCCAAGTTCCCCCCAAGTCTTGGCAGCCCGCCCCCCGCAACAACCCTATCCCTGCCTGTTCTCCATCTCTGAGCCCCGCTTCCCCAAACTCTGCAATACCGAGTACTCAAGACAGTCTGCAAAGTCTGCAGGACCGGGAACCAAAACTGCAGAACCTAGCCGAAACCGGTTTGGCTCAGTGGATAGTGTTGGCCTGCGGACTCAAGGGTCCCAAGTTCGATTCCGGTCAAGGGCATGTAGCTTGGTTGCAAGCACATCCCCGGTGGGGGGTGTGCAGGAGGCAGCTGATCGATGTTTCTCTCTCATCGATGTTTCTGACTTTCTGTCCCTCTCCCTTGCCCTCTGTGAAAAATCAATAAAAAATATATTTAAAAACAAAACCGCAGAACCTAAATCTGAGGATAGGAAGAACCCACCCATGGGCTCCCCTCTCACTTCTTTCTCGGACCTCCGGACACAAACTGTTCCCGATCCCAGGCCTGATGGGGTCCTTGTGTAGTGCAAGCATCCTAAGCTGGATCAAAAACTGCCCATCCCTCCATCCTGAGCCCCGCCCTCTCCCAGGCTGGCAGGAGGCCCCGCCCCCTGCAGCCTGGATCCCCTCGCCCTCCAATCAGCCCACAGCTTCCTTCCTATTGGCTGTCCCTCCCCCAATCAGGAACTTGCCCCTCTCCGGTATTGATCCACACTCCCGCCTTAGGCGGGGTGGTCCCCTCCTCCACGCGAACTGGCCCCTCCATCGCGGGCCCCGCTGTATGTAGACACTCCCCCGACCTTGGCCTTCTTTGGCGGCCCCTCTCGTCCCGGCAGCACAATTCCATCCGGATGCCCGGCCCGGCCCGCCCGGCCTCTCCGGTCTCCGGAGCCCCCGCCGCCCCGTCCCACCCACACCCTGCTCCTATGCGGACGCACTGCGCCCTGCAGCCGGCGCCTCCCTGCGCGGACACGGAAGCCTCCCCCTCCCGGGTCCGGCCCGGGCTCCACAGAAGCCCTGCCCCCTCCCCCTCGCGCGCGGACAGCCCGTCCATCCCGACCCCCGGCCGTCCGTCTGCACCGCCGCCCGCGCCGCAGCCCCTCACCTGTCTCGTGAGCCTTCCGGAGCAGCCAGGCGTCCGCGCGGTCCAGCTCGGACACGGGGGGCGGCGAAGCCCCGGCGCGGGGGCCGTGACCGGGGGCGAAGGACCCCCGGGCGCCCCCGCTCCGGGGCCGCGGAGGCGGCAGCGGCGGCGCCCGGAAGTGTATTCGGGCCAGGCGGGCGGCCCGAGGCCACCACCAGCCGCCTCCCATGGTTCGCACTACGGCCGCCGCGCAGCGGGCCGCCTCACAGGCCGCCCGTAGGCTAACGTGCACGTCAGTCACACCTAGACGCTCATCCATTCGCTGTTCGCACGTCACTGAGGCCCAGCGCGCACCGTCCATTGGTCAGAATGGCAGCAATTCCCGCCTCTCTCGTCTGTGCCGGTACGAGGCGTCCCACCTCGCTTCAGCTGCTGGACTAGGAATCCCAGCGATCACTGTGCCCGGGGAAGGCGGGTCTTCAGAAGCTGGAGACGCGATGTCTGCCGGGACTTGTAGTTTTTGTTGATAATTTGAATTCCAATTGCCAAAATCCCAAAACTCTTAATTTAGAACTTTTGCAAAATCTCGAAGAGCCCAGAGAGAGGATAAAGTGCAATTCACCATAAATCCCACCAAGGAGCGGTTACTGCTATATTTTTAGTTCTGTGGTGTCTTTTTTTCTATGCAGATGTAAAATAAGATGCCCTTCGATTAAAAAAAAAATTCACATAACAATAAATCAGTGGTATTGATTATTTTTCCACAGCCTAATTTTATTTTATTTTTTATTTTTTTAAAGTATATTTTATTGATTTTTTTACAGAGAGGAAGGGAGAGATAGAGAGATAGAAATGTCGATGAGAGGGAAACATCGACCAGCTGCCTCTTGGACACCCCCTACCGGGGATGTGCCCGCAACTAATGTACATGCCCTTGACCAGAATCGAACCTGGGACCTTTCAGTCCACAGACCAACGCTCTACCACTGAGCCAAACCAGTTTCGGCTCCACAGCCTAATTTTAAAAGACATTTATTTTGAATATGGGACAAGATGCAAAAGTTACAAAAGCGTCTGATGAAAAGTAATTAGCGGTCAGGTAGCTCAGTTGGTTGGAGTGTCCTCCCCATACATTAAGGTTGTGGGTTTGATCCTGGGCCAGGGCATATACAGGAATCAACCACTGAACGTGTAAATAAGTGGAACAACAATTCGATGTTTCTCTCTCTTACGTCAATAAATTTTTTAAAAAGTAATTCCCACCTTGTGTCCCAGCCAGCCAGTTCCCACCGTGTCCCACAAAAGCAAGTTTAATGGTTCATCCTGATGCGTTATAAGTGATCCCAGGGCCTAGGCAGTTTCCAGACTTGCCTGCTATCAGCCATGGTAGTTTCCTTGTCGGTATAAGCCTATGCCGAAGCCAGGAGGGACCGCCCTTACTGTCAAACTTCAACCTCCAGCGTCTGCCTCTGGGTCCACACGTTTCTTTATATTGTATATCCCCTGTTGATCTTAAAACATAAAACAGTAGTTTTTGTTTTGTTTTATCAGCAAAAATGGGTTTATCCAGGAAGAGCAAAGAATTGCAATTTGGGCAAGCAAGCTATACAAAAACCATAGGCGAGTCCAACAAAGGAGAGAAACATTATTTAAGAGAAAAAGGAAGAGGTGGGGAAATTCACTGGAGAAAAAGGAGAGTTCAGGGAGATGACAGTTTCTCATTGGCTGAGCTGATGGGATAATCAATTTCCTGTTGGGGCTTATAACTGACTAGAGGCTGGGCACACGAAATTTGTGCATGTAGCTAGGCCTGGCCTGCAAGCGATCAGGGCTGGGCGTCCTTCCCCATCTGGCAATCCGAACCTGCGGGCTGGGGGCAGCTCCTGCATTGAGCATCTGCCCCCTGGTGGTCAGTGCACATCATAGCCAACTGGTCATTCTGTCTGGTGGATTTGCATATTATGTGTGTGTGTGTGTGTGTGTGTGTGTGTGTGTGTATATATGTATATATATGTATATATATATATATATATATATATATATATATATATATATATATATATATGATTTTTTCCTGTTGACTTTTTTTTTTTCCTGCTTGGTCCTATCTATAACTGACAATTCATCCTGTAATTGACATCAAATGGTGCTGCGTGAGAGCTCCCCCTTCTGGCCTCCCAACTTAATTTCAGTTAGGTTTTCCTTTATTAATATTCACAGTCCTTACTACACTGTCGTAATGATCTCTGTACATATCTGTCTCTGCCATCAATCTATCAGCTTCTGATGGATATAGTTCTTTTTAAATATATATATATATATATTTCTTTTTTTTAATTGATTTCAGAGAGGAAGGGAGAGGGAGAGAGAGATAGAGACATCAACAATGAGAGAGAATCATTGATTGACTCCCTCCTGCACACCCCACACTGGAGATTGAGCCCACAACCTGGGCAAGTTCCCTGACCAGGAATCAAACTGCAACCTCCTGGTTAATAAGTCGACATTCAACTTATTGAGCTGGGCTGGACTTAGTGTTTGATTGACCATCTCCATGTCCCCAACTCAATATAGGTAGAGGACGTGTGTGTGTGTGTGTGTGTGTGTGTGTGTGT